TTTTTTGTCAATTGATAGTCAGTCACATTTGATTTTACCTAACAAATGTACGGTCGTTTTCATAGTAAAGGTAGATTCATTGTATGATGATTAGTCCAAAACGTTTACAATTGTAATTTAAAAAACACATATCCTCAATGTTCTTAGTCTTTATTATCATATGCGTACATTAAAATGGTTGGTATATATCAATTATAAAAGAGTATGCATAAGGGCATTATATATTATCTCTTTATTTAGTAACATGTGTTTCTGTAATCTTCTTGTATAAGTAAGATACATTTTTTTCTTCTATATATTGCTTTAACAAGGATGGTATGGATACAAGAGTGCCATTATGTTGAGTTTAAAAAGTGTAAGGACGACACTTGGACATGGAGATATGCGAATGAAGATGAAGAGAATGTCAATCCACATTATATTTCTGGCAACATTGCTTTCTTGGAGCTTGAAGATGCGGTGCTGAAGCTCATAAAGTTCGATAGCATTTCGCACGTAATATAATTGGTATCAATGAACTCGAGAATGACGAGATTTCCAGTTCCCTATGTGAAAATCAATTCTAATTACAAATGAAATGGTATATCTGTTTGTGAAGAACATCGTCTTTGCGTCACACTTATGGACACACCTGTTGAAGAAGAAATGGACAATCAAATTTCAGAGGTAACTATAACATTTGCAAAGGATAATGAAATTCACGAGCGGCTCAAAGCTCAATGGGGAAGTATGATGGAGAATAGAAACAATTCGCTCGAAGAAAGTCTTGAATTTGAAGATGAATGAAGAACCACTTTGTTGATAGAAGATGCGTGTGAGAATTTTTCAACAGAAAATGTAAAGCCCAGAATATTAGTTACTATTTATGGAGCTCGACTTTATTTCCATAAATAGCCAGTTTCCTAATTTGATGCATTTATTATTATTAATTGCATTAAATTGAATAATTAGTATTATAACCTAAGCCATGGAGAATTTATTCAATTTTAATTATTAGAGTCGGATTTGTTCAGCCCAAGTATCAGTTATATTTTTAAAATCGAGCCTTGGAATTATCGGAAATTTTGTTAAGGCGGACCAAAGCCGAACAATTCATTCATTCGAGTCCAATTATTTTAGCCGGCCTATTTAAGTTAATCGAGCTTACGTTCGATTTTATTTTGGCCATTTCAATTAAATCAAGCCCATGTTTGATTTTATTTCAGTCCATAAAAATCGAGTCTATAGTCGATTTCTAAATTCAAACCCAATTATTTTAGCTCAAGCTCCGATATATTTTAGCTAGCCATATTCAATTTTAAAATTCACCCCAACATTTTATTTTGAGTCGAGTCCAATGTTCGATTATTATTTAGCACGATTACATATAGTTCGGTGTTTCAAGCCCAATCGTTAAAATTAAAACCCGATTTTTGGTCCAAATGAGACACAAAACCCTAATTCCCCCTACTATAAATAGAACACTTAACCCACATTATCCTCCACCTTCATCTCCAACCACACACCATCTCCTCCTCACCACCATAAAATCCGGCCAAGTGCCCGTTATCCGGTGAACCCCTGAGTTCCGGCGACCTTCACGCCGACAACCGTCGTTCACGCGAGCTCAACTCGCACATCCTCCGTCAACTTCTTCACGACGAGTCCTCCACCCCGCCACCACCTTCCCAGCTCCGACGATCTCCCATTTCCGGCGAAACTTGAGTCCCCGCACGTGGTTCCAACCCCTGCTCACGACCATGTTCGCCCAGGCGTACAGTTCCTCCCGCAGCTCCGGTCAACGCAGTTCACGACGACCTTGTTCCGATGAGTTCATGCCGAGCTCCGCCGCTCGACATCCGTCCAGCTCGTCGTAGCTCCTCCACGCCACCCGTTCTCGACGACCCGCAGCTCCGTCTACGACCCTTCAAGGCGAGCTCGCGACCACGCACTCGTCCTCGCCGGGAAGCTCAGCCCCGACCAGTCCACCTCGCAGCAACTCTCTTTCTGGCCAGACCCGAGTTGTTCCGGCCAAACCCGCGACCAGCTGCATTAAACCAGCCCAGATCTTAACGAGTC